TCTCTCTCTCTCTCTCTCTCCTTTCTCTGCCCCGTCCTGCAAGGACTTGGTGTTCAAAGGCTCTCGCGTCACCTTCCTCAGGTTGGCAGCCAAGGGATGAAAATAATAGGTATGGGATACTGTGATGGGTGATGGCGGCGATGAAAACATTCATGGAGAAGCCCAGGTTCTTGTGCGAGTCATCTTGACTTGTATATCAACTTTGGAGGGGTGATTATTGATGTTCAATCTGCTTGCTGCTCTTGGATCAACCTGACCCTTGACACAAACAGGGCTGAGGGCCAGTAGTGTTCAAATTCACACTCCCGGGAAATGATGGAAGTGCTGCAAAAAAATGCTCAAACTTTGAGCAAGGACTGACAGAAGTACAGAATCCAGAAGCTAAGAATACATTGTCTCCATCAGAATGCTGTGACTGAAGGAATCGACGAAAACAACCGAACCCAAACTCCGCAGAGGAAGTTGTGCTTGTTGGCAAGGCAAAACACTTGCGAACAAGGCACCACAGGCGAGACATAGATTCACCCAATTGCTTTTGCTCATGGGTCTGCTCTTGCGCAGGTAAGTGCTTGTTCATGGTCCATGCCGCGTACACCTCATCCTGCAAGGACAACAAGAAGAGAAGCTGCCCGACCAAATCCACGGATTCACGGTATGAAATGAACTGTGCCATTCTAGAGCAGTTGGAGATGGGGGGTTGTAACATGTGTTTCCCTAACGATCAAGTTTCCCTAAAGGTTACAGTAAGTTTCCCTAAAAATCTAGGAAACCAAGTCATTAGTGCGAGCGCTTCTTCAAGGAAGCTCCCCCCCCGGCCTTCTTGCGGCGGGAGCTTCCTTGAAGGAGCATAAGCTATCCTACATCCCTAGGAGCTTCCTATTGCTAGTAAGCTGCTAGTAGCTTACTCCCTTACTTAATTAAGTCGGCGCCTACTTATCTAAGTAGGAGGACGGGGCCTCGGGGCCGGAATGGACCCATGGACCCTCTGGACATCGACGCTTTTGAGTTGCATGTCTTCGGCTCCAAGCTCGGCTCCTGTGCCGCCTGCTGTAGCCGTTGCACACCAGAGCGCACGTCCTCAATGGCCTCCTGGAGCACCGGTTCGACATCAGAGAAGAGCAAAGCAACAAAGATCGAGACAAACGTCTTTTGTTGCTTTGCTCTTCTCTTCCTCATCATTCCATTGCTCACTCACCAATGTTTACCTTCCATTGGTCCTATTGGTCACATCTTTAGCCTTGTCTCTTTGTCACATTCTATCTGCTCCTTCGAAGCCTTTGAGAGCTGTGGTAGTACAGGCTGAGCCGGGTGTAGAATGTCAGTAGAGCTTTTGAAGTCCTGTGAGAGGAGCGCCGGAAACCTTCTGACGACATAACATTTGGTGATCTCGAGTCAATGCCAGGGTGGTCTATTATTGTCAAATCATGAGCCAGCCTCTATTGTTGCCCTGTACTGTTGGAAAGAGTCTTTGTATGCTTCTAGCGCTATGTAGATTGTGAGCAGCGTTGACACTCACCCAGCAAAGTGTGTTGAAAGGATATATAATCTACATAGCTTCACCATACACAATCATAATCAATCATACATTGCTGGACCTGCTTCAACTGTTCGTTTTCGCGCACCAACCGCACAACCAACACCAATTGTCCTTGCTTGCAATCTTCAGGCGCGGCAGAACCGGCTGTGCTGGGTGAGGCACAGGTGCCCATTCCTTGCGCGCATTTCTACGTCTTCAGGAATTATCAGGAATTATGCTGAATCCACCGGTGATTCATGGGTCATACGACAACTCCTGGGCTCCTTGGAGGGCGGTCCATTTGGAATGTTCAACTGTACACTGTACAACAGAACTTCTGCAGGTCAACGATATGACAGAACTGAACTTGCCTCCTTTGCTTTGAAATGGTATGCTTGACTGAAATCAAAACATGTGTATATGCAGTAATTATTTCTACAGCGATCAAACAAGCTGGCCATATCAAGTAGAATCAAACACTATGATGCACTCATACTGTTTCAAACATGTTGTGTGCATTGTAATATAACTGTATACAATCTGATCATGTCTGATCAGTGTATAGCATATAGTACTAAAGGGAAGTGATTGAATAGCCAGCTGGTGGAAGGAACCTTGGTGTCCAATTCAGTGAAATTTGTCACCTTGACCTTCGAACGCCCCTGTGCCTCTGATGTGTCCAGGAGTGTCACTGCCTGCGGAAACCAAAACTCCAAACGTTAGCAATGTCTCACATTGAGACAACGCCACACTGCAAAAATGATCTTGCACCGTTTTTGGTACATACAGCTCAAACATTCGGCCACACACGCCACAGAGTATTACTGGCAACACAGAACACCACAACTTTAGTGCAAACTTGCTAGCAGAAGAGCCTGACCGTGGCCTAGGGTTTCCTTCCCCAAAAGATTGGTTAAGGCTCTTTGACCTTCATCCATGTTGTTCCCAACAAATTAAAGACGAACATGTTCAGCTAGAAGCGTAGCCAAAAGCAGGAGTCCTGCCAATGCAACCAATATGACGGCCCCGTGCGCCCGGAGCCTGGGCAGCTTTCTTGTCTTTGGTGTGCTTGTGATCCTTCTCACTGGCCTTCTGAACGGCTTTCTGCCCTTCTTTCTGACCCTTCGCATGTGCCATATGCCTGAAAGACAAGCCAAGTCGGAAGCGCATCGCTTCACTTTTTGGCGGCAACACCGGAATAAGCCGAGTCGCGTCTTGTCAGGCCCTGGCACTGCTGCTGAGGCCTTCGGCGGGGACTTCTAAAATGGATCGGGGTTGCCTCCATCCTATACCTCTAAATCTTGACAGACAAAACTCTTTCTCGCCATCAAACACTTAAATATAGACATCCACATCTTCGATGGATCATTCTTCTCTTTGATTCCCATCTTACCCGCTCTCGTTGTTGTGCCACTGCCTGCATTCTCCCACAGGAAACCGAAGACCGACTGCAAAACCCCGATGGAATCAGAAAGAGTTTATTCAAGTTTGGTAGAGTTGACACGCATCCAATGCAAATACTGTCGAACACCAAATGTGCCGTCGAACACAATTCATATGCAATTCGATCTACAGGACTAAAGCAGTGTAGATCTGACAGGCTTTGTCGGGGTTGATCTGACAGGCAAACAATGCAAAAAGTAACTACTGGATGTCTGTACGCACGCGGTCTGCATATGTGCGCCTTGGAGTTCTGTTCATCGCTGTCCTGGTGATGATCCTCTTTCTGATGATGAGCCTTCTGATGACCACCTTGCTGATGGTCGGCCTTCTCATGACCAGTTTTGGGATGCCTGTCTTTCTGATGCCTTCCTTTCTGGTCACCTCCTTTCTGCTCAGCATCCTTGTGCCCATCTGCCTGATGCCTCCAAAGCAAGAAAGTTGTGCAGGGTGTCTTCAGCGCACAGTCTAGGGAAAGCTTGTAAACATTTACGGAATTCACATGTATCAAGAACAGACAAAGTGATGCTGCTGGTTGCCAAGTAGCTTCTGATCAATGCTCTCTTCCGGCACCCACTCTCCAGCCTCAGCGCCAAGAGAAGCAATTGCAAATGAGCAAATCAAGGCACTCTTAACTGCAGAAGGAAAAGCAAAGAAAAAAACAAAATGAGAAATGGAGCGACTCCAATTCTAACTTAAATTCATAGTGTCAAGGTTGATTGAAGTTGGATGCAACAGCGCAACAGCTTGTTTGAACAATCCTTCCGAACCACATACACCTTCAGCATACTTTTGCACTTCAATTGTTCCTCGACCCCATTGCCGATGCGGTCCCACCTGCCGATGTCCGTCACCGGTCGGAGTCCGACCCTTCCCAGACAGGTCTGCGTACGAGCGACATATTGGTTCATGTAGTCTGCATAGTCTTGGACTCCACCCATCTGCATACCTGTGGATTGCATGTGTCCACCTGTAACCTAGCCACTCCTGCACTAAAAGTGTCTGTTCATGACCACAGAAGCCAGTGTAACCAAACCTGCTCGGTACAATGACATTCTGTATCATGCATACAGGCACAATTGAGGACATGTCAGGCAAAGAAAAGCGGCTATCCTTGATTCAAGTTCAACAGCTCATATATCAGCATATATCAGCTATACGCTGGCCGCAGCACGGTAGTACACACGTATCAATTGAAACAATTTAAATGTTCATTGCTTGACCATTGTTCCCATGCGTCTTCCGCATCTTTCCAATTCTCAGCAGCCTCCCGAGGCAAATTCTTTCCCCTCGTAGTCAAAGGCATTGTTCCTGGTTCTCATGGCTCTCAAAATCTCTTATCTCTTGACACAAAGCAGGACAACGTCTTGCATTCAGTCTGTTCAAATCTGTTCAACGTCTGCATACTGCATACTATACTATCTGAAAGCAAAGTTCAATGTATCCTTGCAACATGAAATAAATTGAAATATCATGGGTCAAGCCATGTGCTCAAGAAACTGAACTTGGGTGGAAACGACCTCGCATTGTCTGGGACATCCCGACCCGCCCTCGTCAGTGGCATACTGCACGACCCAAGGCCTAAAGCAACACAAGCACAGCAGCACAGCCACCTACATATTGGAGTCTAAATATATATATATATATAGAGAGAGATACATAGCATTCATATATTCTAATAGTTACATCTACAATAGTTACTATAGTCGTAAGGGGTAGTCAAGTCATCGGATTGTTGCGAAGGTCAAGAAATGTCTAACATGGAAACCACGAGGATTTGGAAGCGCGACCAGCAGGTGCTATGAAGTCGTTAAGAGTGTCAGTTCTTGTTTAATCATGTTCAATCTGTGTAAAACGCCTGCACCCGACAAACATGGAAAAAGAAAATTCTATTGAGCCTCTGCTGCATAGTGCACAGTCATGACTGATTGTACAAGATACATTCGACCATGTTGCAGCCGCAGATTGTCCTAAAGTGTACATGAATTCAAGGAGCTTCCAGAACATGGAAGCCAACAATTACAATTAATTAGGTAGGACAAGACATTGTTTCAATTGACAGGGTGACCTAAAGAACATGGACCTCACAGCTTGTCTTGCCCGCCCGAGTTGGTCGCATCTGATGTGAGATGCTATCGGTTATACATTGATTCAGCGAATCTCCACTCTGCCGAGCTCCCGCACCGCGCAAAGGGTTCGTATCCTACTTCGTTGCCGCCTCCGCCACCCTCGGTCTCCTGCACGAACGAGGCACACCACATGCAATTGCGTTTACATACGACTATACATTGAAATTGACAATATGAATATGATGACATCGAGACCCAAGCCAATCAACCATTTTCTTCGTCCGTCATGCAGCAGTTCAAAGTTGTATCTATCATGAATCAAACAAAGCGTTGGCAGAGCATTCTAGGTTATCAATAAAGGACCCGGACCATTCAGCCCTCTTCTGACTCATGACTGACTATTGAAATGTACTTGGAGCCGAAAGTAGGCATCAGCTGTCCTTCTCACCACCACCACCACCAGAAGGAATCCAAGGCATTCCTAGTCAAAGAAAGGCGCATCGTCTTCCATGCTTGGTCCAATTGGTCATGCGAAGAACGACCAAATAGAAACGAATCAAAAAGGAAAGTTCCTGCTGATTGGAACATGACACCGGAACCCTTCACCTCTTGGACCACGGTTTGGGATTTTCCGATCACCTGAGTGCTGGTCGCCTTCGACACAGCTGTAGCATCTGCCTACTCTCTCTGCATGAACCGCTGCGTGGCAAGAGAAAAGCCGCGCCTCCAGATCCAGATCCTTGCGGCTGGCCTCCTCGCGCTATCAAGAAACGTCACGCAATCAACTCTAGCGAACGCCACCGAAATGTCCACGCACCGAGTTGGAGGCCATCGCTTCTAGGTTGGAGGCCATTCCTATTAGGTTGGAGGATGGTTGGAGGCCATCGCTCTTAGGTTGGAGGCCATCGTTTCCAAGCTCAGCATGCCTTGGCTGGATGGGTTAAAGTTAAGACCTTCGCGGGTCGATTCATGTTTCTGCCACTCCTCCACCAGCTCCAGAGCTGCCACCTTGGCCCTCACCCATGGTACCTGGCAAAAAGCATGATTCTACTTTAAATGGCTTGCAGGCTCAGCTGTTTGGGATCAGGCGGTCTGGGACCCGACAGCAATATTTGCTCAGTGACCCAAGAACTTGGGCCATTAGGAACCCTTTGCACATCAAAAGACTTGAGAGGGGGATCTGGCGATCTGCTTTTCACAAACGCCATATCAAAAGTACCACGTGGCTGTACCAAATGGCTGGAACCTTAACACCCGTCAGACTCCATGAATTTCGATTATCAAATACGATGACAGGCTACAGTTGTAATGATTTACCGTGACCGTAGTTTTTGTGTTTTTACAACATGCTAACGATCGACATCGAAGCAGCTTGCCAGTCGCGCCAGTGGCCTTTTCCAACACCCTGACCACCATTTCCAGTTCGTTCCTGCGAACAATCGGCAATGATCGCTACTAGTAACAAGTGCATCGCTACTAGTAACAAGTGCCTTGCTAGTAGTAACAAGTGCCACGCTACTAGAAACACATGTGGTGAAAGCCAAGTCAGATACGGACTGTAGGGAAGGAGCTGGTGAAAAGTCCGCCCATACAGCTAGGTCATAGCATGTTCTAGTTATAGCAGCAGCCAAAAGCAAAAAAATACTAAGCAGCAAATCTGTGTTAGAAGAACCCCCAAACCAGTGATCAGAAGTCCATCCTTGTGACTCAACTAGTGTTTGAACAGCAGCGCCTCAGTTGCCTGCTCAGCAAAGTTTTCGTATGGCCCAGGAATGTACAAGTTGTACGTTGTGACCATGGACCTGGATGCCCAGCTTCAAAAATATTGGTTTGTGAGCCATATGACTGTCCAACGTCATTGAACAGAGACTGCTTCAACACACTTGCAGAGTGCGCTTGTCTTTGCAACCCAAAACCCCAAGAACTGAAATGTGATGAAATGTGTCATCCACTGTGCTTCGGCATGTGTCGTCCATATATTTATAGATGCGTGCATTGATGATTTAAGCGGAACCATCCGTGTTTCAGTTCAATCTTCTGCTGGGACTCCGGCTTGTTCCAAGCGTCGAGCTGGGATTTCCTCGTTCCGAAGTCAGAACTGTGAGGTGTTTGTTTCAACAACGTAAAAATAACAAATTTGGTCAATCAGACAGTCACTCCGAAGAAAAGGAAACGGGTGGTCATAGACCCAAAGCGCATCAAAACACCGATCAACGCTCCATGGTTTATAGGGCATCCCATGTCCTCACTAACACACACCAAAATGGAGCCATCCGTGTTAGGGAAGGAAGGGCGGGGGGGGTGCAGGTGTTACACGGAAGAGTTGTTTCTCCACAGTGAAGACCTGAACAAGGAACACAGGTCCCGAACTCAGAGTGTTGCTCACGGTCTCAGCCGTAGGCATGCTGAATGTTGCAATTGCCAGCCCTATGGATGCGAGTTGCACAGCAATACGTACGACACAGAAGTACAAGGGAGTACAATAATGGTGAAAGAAAAAAATAAACATTTACACATACCATGTCCACCAGCAAAACTTGGAAAAATCAGTGTGAATATATATATATACATATATATGTATATGTATGTATATAGTGTTATATATATAGTTATATAAATTTCTCTGTTCTGATCTGGCCTTTTACAGGGAAGCTCGTTTTTATTCCTCAGCCCATGCAAAAAATGTCGAGTTGACCGTCGTGACTCTCCAAATTTCGAAGAGGAGAGCAAGGCCAATGCATGCTTGTGAGGCGCGAGTCAACAGGCGCGGAAGGCACAACGCTCTGATTGGCCAGCAAAGCACTGAGCGGTTTCTTTTCAAAGAAGCCCTGTGCTCGTGAAGCAGGAACTCGAACAAAGACCCAACGTGTTTCAGCTTTTTTGCTTCGTTGACAAAGGAAGGTCGCTTCTTGAAGGTATTCCAGAGTGGCAATCGATCTAATAAGACGGAGTCGCCAGAGTATGGTCGAAACTTCAGCGTTGTTCTTGTACGACCAAACAGCTGCTTTGCACAAAGCCCTGCCTCCCTGAAACTCAACGCCGGCTTCTGGAGTTAATCGTTCTGTGTCCTGATTGCCCATAGCAATCTCCGCCCAACATGGATCCAGGAGTCGTCTCGTCGAATACGGCAGATGCGGCAGATCGCCGTGGAGAGGATTCGGGCTCACATGCTGGGACAATATTGCAAGCGGCGGCGGACGGCGGAGGGTTCAAAGACAGCTCTGCCGCCAGATGCCCTCTACAATCGCATGGATCTCTTCTGGGCCCTCCACCAAGGCTTTGTGCAACGCTCTCCTTGCGGCAGCGAGCTTCCCGCTTCCGATGGCTGAGGAGTTTCGTCACTGTTTGAGTTTCTCAGCCCTTTTTGTTCTCATCCTCTGATTTGGACAGCACGTCCAACTTCCGTGGACGGGTTCCGATGCCACCTGAACATCACGCATCGCAGGAAGACCTACGAAGATAGAGTCTCCGCACTCCTGGCCCGTTTGAAAGCTGCCTTAGCCGATGCGGGCGGGACTGAATATGTGTCGTCAATGGCCCTGATGACAATCCAGTAGCAACTGCTCAAGGCAATCTTCTCACGGCTGCTGATGCCTGGGCGCTGGCCTTCCAGCGAGTTCTTCAAGAGTTGACTGATCTCACGACAAGCTGAATCACGAGCAACGCCTGTCAAATTTGCCTTAGCTTCACGGGAGCAAACGACAGAGACCTGGGTCGAATGGTGGTGGATGGCTCAGTGAACAACGTGCGTTGGTCGGCTCTCAACGAAGACACGCCGCACCTCAGTTCACTCAACTCTTGGCGGACCTGGGTTCAAGCTTGAGGGCAGACACTTCTTCCTGGAGTGATGCCACCAAGCTCTGACTCATGTGGAGATTCTGTACAGCTAGCTGTCTGAGTCTAGGTCCTCACAACTCCAGCGGCTCACAAACACGTGTAGTCAGAGCCCCAGCCGGTACGAAAGGATCACCTCTGCCAGGGGATAAAGGAGCAATCCGATGCACAGCGAAGCAAGGTCCAGCTCCTAGGGCAACTCTGGGCAGTGAAGAGGTGGAGGATAGAGCAGCGGCGGATCCAAGGCACGCAATGCAATGGCTAGCACGCTCCCGTTCCCAAGGCTCGGAGCATTCAGACTTGTTCCGGCGAACGGTCGAAAAAGCATCAAGGATCACATCCTGGAGCCCTTGAAGGAGCCTTTCAAGTCTTCGATTCGATCATCCAGTGGAAGAAATCAAACCTCTAAACAGGGGGATATCCTCCCTGATGTATTTTGCGAACGTCAAACGGCTCGCACAGTTGGATGTGTGGCACTGAGACCTTTACCCTCTGAAAAATAGACCACAACTGCTACAGCATTGGCCATACCGATCCTGCTTTCGGACTCGAGGCATGGGTGCGCCATGTATCTCTACTTGCGCGTATACTCCGACTCTGAAAACTAAAAGAGACAAAAAGGAAGCAAACAGCTTTGCCCGACAGACGAGCGTGATGCGGCTCCTTTTCGGCATTCAGATCTCTGTACATGTTCTGGACACCAGCTCGCCTATGTTTATTAGGACAAGTCAGCGTCATCAGGCACTCCAAAGAGCAAAACAATATGCCATACACACATTCAGTTCCAAGCCACTTCCCCTCTGATTAAGGAAGTCAACAACAGGTGATAGTGGGTTCTCTCGCAAGTGGCTGAAGCCTTGTTTGCTTGGGTGTCCAACCAATCTTGTTGGCTTCAAGAACACCTTCTCGTCGGGACCAAAGGTCTGTACAAACTCCTCCACAGCTCGGCAGATGCCTCGCCAAATGGCCAGACAAAGGCCTCAAATCGGGGCCACCTTCCAGCCATCCCGAGTATAACGTCCTGCGCAAGCAAAACAAGTTCGAAGGCTGCGAACATCGACGGCCCTAGTCGCCTTCCCTAGGCCCTCGTGCGACCATCAGACCACACAAAACACAACTGGGTCCACGGTAGGTGACCGAAACTGTCGAAAGAATTCGACCTCCCTGGCCTCCCAAAAATCCTCACATATCAAAGCCATCAGCTGTGTTTGTTGGCTCTAAAATCCTCTGCATTCAAAAATGCCGTAATTGAACATCTCGCAAACGCAGCAGTCCTGCACTCGTTGTCAGTAGTTCATCCTGGACGAACGGCAACGGTGCCAATGCAACTTGAAGGAACCGGTTGTGGTCTCGTGGTGCTCTGAAGATCTTTTATATACATCCTTCCAAATTAGAAAGGACATGTCTAATATTTTTGTTGGACATGGACTATCTTTTAAGCCGTTTGAGCTGCCTTTGTGCGGATTTATTAACTACTAGAAGTTAATTAATAACAAATACTACTTTCATTCATACTGGGCAGGCTGAACATGTTTTACAGGTGCCATACAACATGGCACATCAAAGACTTCATATCTTTGTCTGATGCCAACAAGTGCCAAGGCACGGCTCTCCCCCTTTTTACAGAAATTGGTTGCTTCCCAGTCTTCCCAATTCCAAAAAGGATAAATTAGTCGATTGATCCAACTATAGACCTATTGAAGATCACAGGCCCCATAGCCCTATGGCTGGCATCATATGACATGATTGCCCGAGCTTTCCGAGCCTTGGTGAATATTTTGTTGAACTTCTCTGTCGTTGTCCTGGCAGCTGAGGAATGCAGAACAAGTTTTCATACCTGTCGACGCTTCTTGCCTTACGTGACTGCATGTTCGTTCGAAGTGCGTCCCAGTATCGAGTCAATTCCATCAAATCGATCATTGACAGATACAAAAATTCGCTCCAGATTGTGATGTGCTGTGAAGTTCTATCTTTCAAATTTTGTTTACTATGTTCTACTTGTATCTGATCAGGATCTGTGTGTAGATACCATTTAGACTCAGTTTAGACTCATGACATGTCGGGCAGGAGAGCCGGATGGTGCCGCGAGCGGCCGCTAGCAGCTGTATTTCAGAAAGGCATGAAGCCATATTGAGCAATGGTGGCCACCAGAAGCATCGAAGGTGTAAAAGAAACAGAACGAGCGATCAACCCTCCAAATCCTCACGAGTGCCGTCCTGTCGTAGTTTTGATCTTCCTCTTCCTCTTCCTCCTGGACACATTCGGAGTCGCTTCGAATGCTCAGAGCAATTGATTTTCTCACCGGGTGATCCTAAATGACTCCGAAAGCCAACAATGATCCCCGACGAGAATGCAAAACCCGCACCAACGAGAAAAATATTGGGATCCATTGCCACCAATTGCAGCCAAGAGCGACCAAGACACACACTTGCTACTAGTGCCAAGAAGCTACTAGTAACTCCTGGCATTACTATGGTGGAGGCCATCGCTATTAGGTTGGAGGCCATCGCTGCTAGTAACAAGAAGCTGCAGTAACCTACAAACAAGTATTGTTCAGCCTCCTTGGATTGAGAGTCAGGGAGTCGAGCACATCAACCTGGTCAAACTTGCCTTTGGAGGAGCGAATTCAAGTTCTCTCATATCTAGATATTATGTTCGTGAATTGTGCCCGTCCGTGCAAGTCCATGCAGGATTGAACATGAACCAATAGAAAAACACCTATAAATACCCATAATGAGAAGCTACTAGGAGCAAAGGGCATCGCTACTAGGAGCAAGGACGCTACGAACGGGGCTCCTGGCATTGCTACTAGGAACAAGGACGCTACTAGGAACTATTTGGGGTGCCTGAAACTTCGTGCTCCTCGTCATCCTCGTGATCGTCTCTGTCCCAGGAGTCGTACCTCACCGCAAACAGGACTCTTTCGGACACTGCAGGCCGTGTGGATGACTTTGGAGCTGCCATCTGTGCTCAGCGACACAACACCAAGCAGTTGTCAACGCCACAGTGCTCAATCAACACCATTGAACAAGGCCTTAACTGAAAGTGTCGACCATTGTCAACATGTATATATAGTATTCCTTTAAGCAGTTGCCATCAGTTGCCGCTTTGAATCCACAAGACGACTTGAAAGTCTCCCTCCTGCCTGGTGCGTGAGACCCGTTGAGTCTCACGCCTGGTGGCTTCACCCGTGAGTTCCAAGACCTGTCCGACACAGTGATCCGGGAGACAAAGATCAAAGCGAGGAATAGATGTGTTCAGTGCCAAAAAAGCAAAAACACATCTGCAAAGCCACTTCATGGATCTTGATGACATTCAGATTTTCTACAGCATATGCTTCTATTGTCTTCTATCTATTTATGATATTTATCAATGTCAGAGGTTTGCAAAGTGAATTCACTGACACTACTACAAGTTCCATCTGTCATATGGGGGACCGGTCCATGCTTTTCAATTGTTTCATCAGGGTATCGGTTGTATATATTCTAATCACTGGAGCACTGGTACTGGTGGCGCCCTCTCAAATCGTTGCCATTCGCCGGCATTCGTTGGATGCCTCCTTCTTCTGGGTTGGGTCCCAACGAACCAGCCATGTACCCTGCGCTGTCACAGACCTTTGACAGCAGCCATTGGCCACTCAAGGTCTTTGACGGTCTCTGGGTGGCAAGAACACATCCTATCAATCGGATTGAGGCAAATACTGTAGGTACTTCGACTTGAGTGCACAAAAGCGCTTGACAATGCCACCACAAACAAAAGCATTAAGAGAACAACAGTTGTCAAATGTTGTCATCGTGAAGAATCACACGTTTTGGACATTCGAACTTCAACCCTGATTCAACACCCCTGTTCTTTCTATTCGGACATTCTGAGGTGGTTGCGAGTCGTGACTGTAGCCGCATTCAGCGTCATGGTCATGATGCTTCCTCTTGAATGCAAACTCACCACCTGCATCAATTCAAGCCATCTTATCTCTGAATTGTGCGCTCTGAAGTGCTGTATATAGAGACAACGAGATCTGAGACCATTGCACTTGGTGAAGAATCCGATCGTCGAATCCCAATGTTGTTTCGAGATGGACGGAGTTCCGGGCGGTTCCGGGCTGGGATTTCTCAAGGCATTTCTGGTCGTGGAGAGGCCACAAACCTTCTCGTTTGGAAAATATCCAGTTCTGCGACAGGGCGCTGTTTGTTTGCAGCAGCAACCGGGAACCATGTGAAACCAAAGCACACGAAAGCATGATGTTACTGGCCAAAGCACAAGATAAGAACACTCATGCCACATGTCTCAAGAGATTGTCTGTAAAAGACAGCGCCTGAGAGGATCCTAACCTCCACATCCTCTGAAGTCTCTTCCATGCCACAACGACGGCCGCGGATGTATTCCTCGCAGACCAAACACCGACGTTCAACATAGCATAAGCATCACCATTGCACCGCCTTTAAAACGGGTGCAATTCGTATGCCTGATTTGTCATGATTTGTCGATGTCTGTATATATCTCCTATTGCATTTGTGAAAAAACAAAATCTTCAGGACAGATCGTTGAGTCTCAACTACGAGCTATCGGTGACTGCGTGTGACGGCCTGGGTGAAGCACTTGTTGGTGCACCATTCTGGCTCTGAAGGCCTTGGCACCAGTACCGAAAACCAAGACATTGATTGCTTCCAAGAGTTGGTCCTGAATGAACTATGATTCCGCAGCCACTATCTGAATCTTAAGCTTGGTTTCTTTACACTTCTTGGCAACCCCTAAGGCATCATAAGGCCCTAACAACTTCGGATGCTCAGAAAAAATTGGAAGGTCACCTCCAATTCTGTTGCTCACCCTGAATTCTCAACGTTGAGACAAGAGGGGAGGTGGCCCTGGGCGAAAGGGCCACTCGGATGGCCAGTCAAATGGGTTTCAAAGCTGGGCAGCTTTAGCGAACCAATCGAAGCAATCGAAGCTGAACGTTTCCCTGTCGAGCTGCACCACAACCAGCAGGTTGCAGCCAGAAAGATCTTTGATGCTTCGATCATCCTGCATACTGTCTGAGACTGACTGAGATGAAAGCGCGGGGCGAGAGTGGCATTCTTCCCTCATAATTGTCTACATATACACCGTTGTACACCTATATAGCTTGAGCACTAGCTTGAGCTTGTGACCTGGCTCAGCGGCTGCAAAGAGATGATAATGCATGAAAACTGACAGTTGGCAGTACACGAATAGATCTATGATGATCTATGGTGTGGGTGTCTTTTCTTTGCATTTCTTTGCGGCCAGCCACTCACAGAAAGCTCCTTCGAAAAGCATTCAAACAGCACACGGTTTTCTACTACGAAGCCACTCTTTGTCAGCTCTAGCAGAACCTCGCTGCTATCCTCTGCCACAAACATGACAGACTGCGTCTGATGAAGGGTCCAAGCAGTTCAAAGCCCTAAGCCCACAAAATACATAATAATGCAGGTGCTTGAATCGAAGCCTGCAATCTACCAGTGGCAAGCAGTTCCCCTTTCAATTTCACTGAATAGGAATGAACATGGCAGGATAATCCAGGCCACCTATCAGAATCCATGTGTTCACACAAAGAACATGCATTAAAAATGATTAATGTAAATGGTTCTAGCCAAACTGTGCCAAACTTGCATAAAGTTGTACTGTCTTGGATTGGTCATGTCAACCCTCATCCACACTGACGTTGAATTGGGAGGCCTGAAGCTCTTCCCCCGGGGCTGAGTCCAGGAATAGTGACACCGAGGACCTCAAATGCCAAAGGTTGATAGCAAACTCAGTAGGTGATCGAGTAAATCTTGTGACACTACTAGTAGCTTCTTGCTCCTAGTAGCGATGCACTTAGCTACTGGTAGCTTCTTGCTACTAGTAGTATGGCGAGGAGCTATAGGTCGTGTACTGTGTTCCTGAAAAAGACAAGAAAACAGTTTGAGCAATGTTGCTCAATGTACTTTCAGCGCCTCCCGAAATCGTGTCTGTGGCAGTTAAGTTACAGGCATTGACAAGTTCAGCACTTCCATCACTTTGCCTTTGACATCTGCGAGGGTCTCAGCCGCATCACCACTGACAGTGCCTTCAGCGCCGCTGATCATGCTGACCTGCCAGCGGATTTAGTGTACCAAGTTTATGTGGGTTGAAGACTGAAATAATCTGTCAGCGATTTCGTTGTGTTCTAAAAGGAAATGCTTCTGGACTTGAATGATAAAATAACATAAAATAACATCGTCTCATTCCGAAACTGACACGAGCCCATACACTAATCCGTCGCACTAACTAGGGCAACTAGTGCAGCAATCCAATATGACGTGAGTATTTGGAATGTCTCCGCCTTGAAGGTGATGCTACTCTCCGCCATGCTTTAGGCAGCTGCTTTGCTTGTGGAACACTTTGAGCTTAAATTGAAGCCAGCTTCAAGCAGCGTTCCTTCTCTGATGCGGAGATATTGTATCACATGGCGATATGTTAGAAGTGGAAGCAACGAACAGCAGTCAGAGCATCAAGACTCCAAACGTCTTCCTATGTCATCCTATTGCGTAAAACTGTTAACTCGTAAAACAAATGAAGTTGAGCAGACTGTGCGACCTGTGATCGACGAGGCAACGCTTCCAAACTGCTTCGACTCGACAGTCGAACTCGGAGGGCTCTTCGTAAGTCTGAAAGCTTGGCCGCCCTTGGCAGCCCTACCCTTTGCTGTTGTAGTCCTTTCCAGATGTCACATCAGCACCCGCCATGGAGGCATAGAGACCTGGGAGACATGATGGGATACCTCTCCTCAATTGTTCAGTCTCTCTCTCTCGCTCTCTCTCTCTCTCTCTCTCTCTCACTCTCTCTCTCTCTCTCTCTCTCGCTCGCTCTCTTTTTCTCTTTTTTTTTGCTCTCCGCTTTGTCTCCGTCCAAAAAATGCAAATCTTGCAAAAATTATCCGTTGGATCCGGCAGATTCCAAGTCAAACAAAATTCTTCAACATGGGAAAGCACAACTGAAATGACTGAGATCTCAGTTGGCTGACTCACGTACTGGTCGTAGTTTGCCTGAGGTCCACCGTACCTGGCTATCATGCATCAGTGGTTTGGCTTCTTCAACCACCTGAATGTCAAATGAGTGGCACAAATCAAGGTCCAGCCTAGAAAAAAAGTTCTCAGAAAAGCTCCAAACATCATTCCCCGGCTTCAAATTGTGCAGCACCCTCATGGGTCCGTGCGTTCTCCTCTATGGGGCACTGCTTGAGGTACTTCTGGTAGTCTCCAGATTTACCTTCGTTAGCTGAGTTGTACGTAGAGCTTACAACGTTCAGAGCTATGTAAAAATAGCTATTGGCATTTGCCAAATGTGTCAATTGGCCTTCAACAAGCAGCGACCAATGGCCCAAGACAGGTGTCGGGAGGAGCTCAGTTCGTCATAGGTCTTTGTTGTGAGTTGCACATATTGCAAGGCTCCAGCCCAGTCTGGCAAAAGTGCTACATGAGATTACATGAGCTTTTTTGTGAGTCCAGAACTTGGAACACATCACCAAAAACATCCATTGCAGCACAACCATTGCCAGCACCCGGTCTGAAGCTGGATGTCTGAAGCTCTTCCGGTCTCGTCACGCTGGATGCTCCCCAAGGCCTGAGTACTGGGACATGTAGCTTCGCCAAGACCTCGGTGAGAGAAGCTCAAGAGACGTCTCCATGAGATACATCTCAAGAGATGCCGTGGATACCACGTGAGATGCATCTTTCAGTGTCATCCGCCAGGCTTCCTTTCAGAAAAGAGTAACAGTAATTATCCAACCATTTGATGTAGCAGCGGTCAAGAGCACCATACACAAGAATAGCATAGAGTAGCCATGAACATCGTTTGATACCGCCTCCTCCCAAACCTTTGGTGACACCAGCTCCAGCTAGGCCTCCAGGCGAGTTTTCACCAACCCAACTGTCAGTGTAGTGCTCATCGCCTGGTGGCAGGTATGACCTCAGATTGCCACGTGAAAGCCTGAACCATCTTGCCTGCCCAGGATGCCGTAGCTATGCCATGGCTTGCGCATTTGACTGATACAGTCCCACAGTGATCTAAAGAGTTCAGCAGCGCCGAGTGATGTATCAGTATCCTGGATAGTTTCATGGCCATGAATCATGTGGGAAGGCTAGAATCCTGTAGCCAGTAAATCGCATGTCTTCGTGTTTTGGTGTTTCTAGCAGGATAGCATTACATGGTGAGGGCTCTGCATGAGGTACTTGTCGTTGAAGCTGTCTTGGGCATCTGCATCCTGGATACAAAGCAAACACCACGGGCAAGCCTCATCACACTATCATAAGTCAAACATCTCATGCATCATTATGTTTGGCAACTGTGGGCTTCTACAGTATGATCTTCTATGCTCAATGCGGCAGCTGTGAAGATGTCAAAGCAACTACCCTTGACGAACAACTCGTAGATAAGCCTACAATGAGCAACTTGTTTGCAACGTGAATGGACCCGCCTTGGCACTTGCAATCCAAAGATAGCATGCCACCACAACTGGCCAATTTCCATCAATTTCGTGACTGACCACAAAAAGTGCAGCGTTTGTCATCTTACCAAAATGAATCATGGAAGAATGCAGTGGGCCCAAGATCGAAACCTTCCACAACACTCAAAATGGTCTGTCGGTCTGCTTCCGAGTATTTCTGAGTTGTCCTCAGTCAGTCAATAGCAAAGTACACCAAAACATATACATAGAATTACGGTATCAACACACATGTCACATGGTCACATTGCACAGCACTCTAGAGTCTAGAGTTTCAGAGGTCCAAGGGAAGTTCTGCCAACAAAGGCTGAAGTGGGAAAATGCCTCCAAACAGCGGCGTCAAGAGATACAAGCTGGCTGCTGGCAAAACAGACGTTAAAAAGAAACCAAGTGACTGCCGAAAAGGCTCATTGCGTCTGAAAATCCAAAAACATGCAAGAACCAGTTCTGCCCGCCAGAAGCACGATTGAGCCTGCAGCAAAATGATGTCGCACCATTTGGCCCAAACTAAGTTGCACTCGCACTCACCAATTAACAAAAGAAAAAGAGCTGGACTATGTGTTCCCGCTGTACAGTAGCGTTGCTGAAGTCACCCCAATGGGCTTGAAACCCCTGAACATGCTGTATCCTTGAATCATTGCCAAAGCAATGCAATGCATGATGAAAGGCTTACGGCTTACAAGACAAACATTGCACATTTGCCCAACCATGTTGGGATCTAGAGCCAAAGGCGGACGCGTTCGGTGCCAGATGTCTTATTAATGTAGCATCCTGGGTCTCTTGACCATGAGTGGCCGATGGATCTCCGTACAAATCAAAGCATTCTGTCAACTGTGGCTGCCTGCTGTCGCAAGCAAGTCATGTTTTGAAGAGGATCTTTGGAATTCGGCTACTGCTGTCACTCTTTTGTTCCCCTGCAACTAAAGTCACTATAGCAACTCTTGACTCCGGCTACATGCTAGTATGCTTGAGCATACTCCAGCACAAAAAGACGAAGCCCCTTTGGGGTCGCAAAAAACATTATCAAAACACGAGGTTCAAGATGAGGGAACGTAATGAAATATCTCAGCGGCTTGGTTTCGCCCGCGAAGAAAAGCTGCAAATTAATGAATGGCCAGCTGGCAACTAGAACTTGGCAGTTTTCCATCAGAAGTGAGAGCGCATGCATGCGCCTTCAACAATAGGGCAGCTTCAGGCAACGGTGGCCCACATGCAGGTGTCTGTTCAAATTCGGATCAGTTAAGTACAATGTAAGCATTTGCTAAGATGCTCAAAGTGCGTGTCACAATCTTGGGGACAAAATCCATCAGCCGAAATAAGTATATGTATATAATATATATAACAAGCACAATAAACCTTCTGACTGGCCCAGTCTCTTGGCATACTATTATACATATTAAATATAGCACTACATTATATTATATGTATATATATATATGTACGATTGAGCAGTATGTCATGGTGTGTCTATGTGTCAGCAAGAATAATATACGGAAACCTCAACTCAGGCCAGCCTCGACGCCAATCTACCGCACGGCTGGCATGGACATAACACGTGCCAGTGTCTGTCCTGGCAGTATCGTGAAGGTCGTGGGGTCTTACTAACTTACTGTTTCTGAATCATACGTCCTACAAACTAGGACACTTTGAAAGAATAAACTGCCTTTTCTACTTGGAACAATAAAGCTACTTTGACTCGCAGTTTCTACATGATAGTGCTGGGTGATGTAAAGTTGCCACACCGTAGTCCTGTCTCTGATCCAGCAGGGTTCATCTCCAAAGGCAGCCTCATGTTGAACACATCAAGCATCGGAAATGAACTGATGGACCAATGGATGAGGCAGAAAGGTTTGATTGTGGCTAATAAAGTCCAGGTTCTTGTCTGACTACCTTCACATCTTGGGTGGCCAACAGGAATTACAGTACCTGATGTGGATTGACAGAAAGAAACAAACGAGATAGGTGGTGACCTTTAGGTCCGCTTTCTCAGGAGGTCGTCCCTTGGTACATGACGGTACATGTGCCCAATTGATGTGACCTTCAGGCCTCAGGCACTCCAACTCAGCTTCATCTACACGTTGCGGGATGTTCATGGCATGGTCTTCTCCATTGCAGCAATGGAATAGCAACGAATTATACTGATTGCCATGCGCAGCTGACTGCAAGGGTTTTTGCAAACAAAGTGCTTTACGCTGAGAGATCTCCAACAAACGAACGAACCAGGTCCAGGCACATATGGTCACAGGAGAATCGTTGGTATTTGGGCAGCACCAGTGGAGGTCGCGGTGGGGTGACCTGCCACGGGAAGCTCCAAGCTCATTCATGTCATTCCACTTCAGTGGCTCTGGTCTTCTCAACACAAACGCCACTCTCTACGGGCCGTGGTGCGGCCGCAGGTCCGGGTCATCCGAGGGCAAACGCGGCCTCGACAGCAGGCATCACAAAGGGTGGCGGTCCGAAACGCTCCTGTCGGAGAGTGCATCAACCATGTCGGTGCCAAAATCAAGCATCAGTCAAGTCAAGTGGAACACATACTAGTAGGAAACTGAAAGCCCAGAACTCTAAGAGTATTGCTTGGAATGTAAGCCAGGCAGGATCTAAGCCAGCAATTTGTGTGGGTCCATTTGGTGTAACTAGGGCATCAAAAACCTGGTGGAACATCAAGCAACAGGAACGGGGGCTGGGTCTTCTGCTGTCTCTTCCATAATTGTCCATTGTGACAAAAAGCATCAAAAAGACCTTGTAAGTGTAAGTAAGTATGAGGTGAGTTCAATGGAAGGGCACGAGAAAAAACACACAACGATTCTGCAACACATTAGACAAACATAGGCTTTGCTGCTCTCCTTGGTGTCCTCACCCACGTATTTGCTCATTGGCCCATAGGGCTCCTGAGAGCACCAGAAGAACGGCCCTGTGGTGGCTTTGGGAAACTTTGTGATGTACAGACTGTTCACGAATCAACTTAATGGAAGATTCCTAGAATTTATTTGAAGTTAAAATGCAGCGCCGGCCTAGCCTTTCATACTCTTCTAATCATTGTGCCAAATTGGGAGGTCTTCATTTCAGCTTCCACATTCTTCCACCATTGCATCAACCAAAGGCCTACGTCATTCAATTGCTACTGGGCGGGTTGTTATAATGTTCACGGCATGAGGCAGCTGGCTGAGAGCAAAATCAACCGAATGCTTCTTGTTGAACAACGTTCGGCATCTGAATGGTTTGCTCGTGACTTCCCGCGATAACTTACGACCCTCAACTTGCAAGATGCAAATGCTGGTGGTTGGGTCTTGTGCCCCTTGCCTTGTCGCTCTGTGGTTCTTTTGTAGCTACGGGAGGCTTGCTGGGGAAGACTTGGTCTTGAAGGTTCGAAGGTCATGAGAACTCGCTCTATCTCTGCCGTTCAAGTCTGTTACAACACAAGTCATGCAGAACATCCCATCGAGTATGAGTACCTAGTGGTATTCTCTCGGGCTACAACTCCCTGTAGACAAATGACAAAAGTCCGGGTAAGTCATATGCCCCGACCACAATGCCCAATTGCATCGGGTTGAAAAAAACAGGCCGGGGCTTTGTGGTTTGAGGCGGGTTCACAGCGGCTTCAGCAGCAAGTCTTGAGAGGACCCACTTAAGTGATATTCAGATCTGACTGGCACCAGGGTACTTTTGAGATGTCCCTGCATTTCTCTCTTTGCATCCAACAACCACTTAGTTTCCTCAGCTGTGCTTTTGGCACGTCTGACGCTGATGTATGAGGCATTCCGAACCTCAGCTTCAAGCTAGTCAAGTCAAGTTGTTTTGGCCAGTGCATTCACTGCTGGAATGTGACTACGTAATTAAGCCATGCAAAATATGGCTGAGAACCTCGAGAGACTGACTAATTAGACTGTTACCAACAACCAGCAGCACGCAGCAAACATGGAGTTCTCATGAGTTCTGAGTGCTCCGACGATTTCGAAGCCCTGAAGGTTGGATAGTTGGTGTTGACCTCCGTCTCCCAGTGCACAAAGGTACAAGTATGGGGCTTCCGATTCGCAATCGACATGAACTAGAACCAGACGGCCCAGCGGACCATGGTGGAGGAACCAGTTCGTCAATCACTGGCCGCTCAGTCTCCCTGCGTGGCTGTGCTGGCTTCAGCTTGCGCTGTCGCACATACTCATGTTCGCCTGAGTGTGCCCGTTCTGCACCAAGGTGCTATGTTGCAGATATCCACTGTCATGGTCGGAGACAGATGTGAACTGGCATACTGCGTAGGATGAACAATATCAAACAAAGGGACTTGTGGAAAGCTTGTGAAAATGGAATTCCAAACCTGTCATTTCGATGCTCTGGACTTCCGGTGGAGGAAACATTAGGACAGAAGACCATCTCTTGCACGTGCGTTCTTGAAGCCACACGAGCGTTCTTATTGCAAAATGGGCACACTCAGGAGTCGACTATTGCAAAAGGCCTTCCAGATGCACTCAGCAGAGACGCGGTCCACGGACGCAGGGATGCCTGGTGTTCGGGGAGACGAGGCGAGCGCGAGCGAGGCGAGGCTGGGGGTTGGTCACCCACCTGGAAGTTGACCTCGAGTGGTCGATGAGGGCTTTGCATCCATGACCTGCCGCGTGGAGTGGTTTCGCCGCTTGGACTATGATAAGAAAGAGAAGAAGAAAGTGCCAAAATAGTGCCAAAATATCACAGCTATTCGAAGTCTCCTTTGTTTTTGGTGGACCAAGCACAGCTTGTTTCCCTTTCATTGCCTATGAGTAGAAAAATAGCAAAGGACCAAAGGACTTCTCTAGAAATAGGTCTGATGAAAATTGATGAAGTAAATAAGTCTCATTAATCTGCCCCTCCAAGGCCTTGCTATTTCTTGAGAGCTACTGGCTATTTCTTGGACACCCTCAGCGGGATGGTTCTCCAGTTTTGCAAAGCAAACCACCATGTCGGGGAATCGTCCACAGCGTGGATTGCCAGTTAACTGCCCTCTGACTCTACCAACAAGGTCACTCTGCCAGCATGCCTCTCAACCGTCCCTTAAGGCTGTTGAGTGGTCCTCAATTGAGCCAGAAATGCTGCAATCTGCTTCATGGTCATCTCAATCCACACCAGCAGGAACGACGCTGGCACAACTTCAATGCATTGGTCAAAGGAACTTCCATTCTTCTAGGTTACTGCAGTCCACTTTGAGAAAAACAAGGTTCGAAACCAATGCCAACAAACAAGCTATAGCCTGTGCTTCCGTGGTCTCTCTGCGCCTGAATCTCGATATTGGTTGCAGCTAGCTCAACTGGCTGTCAATCTCACAGCTGAGGGAATAGCTGCCTATAGCCAGCTAGCATCCATTCTTATCCAAAATGCATCAAGATCAAAATCATGAGTCTGGTTTAGACAAGGCTGGTGGTGGGTCACGTTGCTAATAGTGCTGCAGACCTGCTAGACAGCCAAGACAGCGAAAAACAAAAAGAACTACTCAAGAACGGTCCTGCAGCACTTAAGGCTTAAGGTGCAAGTTGCAGCAAGTGATGCAACTCAGACGACGGATATCAATTGCTCCGCTCACACCACTGACATTTGAG